AGGGAAGAAAGAAGTGTTTTGGGGACAGGTAAATGGTATCAATAAATCTCTCCATATGCCAAAATGTTTTGGAAATGCTATTCTTACAACATAAGTGATGTACAAATGTCTGCTATCAGTTCTGTTATATGTTGCTTTTAAAACAAAAGAATTCAGCAGTAGGGCAGAAAAGTTATATTTTCAAATACAAAATAGAAAATATTATTAAAAAATCTTTTCATCATTGAACACTCAGGATGTATTTCACCCAGGACTACTCAGAATTCTTTGAGATGACAGTAAAATAAGGAAACTTAGCTTTGCCTAGGTATCTTATGAACATCTTGCTCCCCTTAATTTAAATTGATTTCTTTCAGTATCAAAAAAGTATACATGAGCTCAGCTTTTGTTGCTAAGTGTTTAGCAAAGATACTTTGAGAGAAGATCATGCTGGATGCAGAAATTTGCAGTTTAAAACCTTGTCCTAACTCTGTCCTTTCATACTCTCTTGTGGCAGCAATAAAGATTATTTATTCCTTGGCAATGATGCTGAATGCTGATTAGATTGTGTGTAATACTACAAGCTCTGTGTGGAATTTGACCAAATTTTGGGAAAAAAATGAAAGAAAAGTCAATGCGTTTTGATAATCTCTCTTTCTCCTTCAGTCTAAAAAATTAGACTTAGTTTTGAATGAATTTCACGTTTGAGGTAGTGACCTAAAAACTAAAATGAGATTCAATCACCGTGTCCTCAATTCATCTACTACATTAGGAAATTTTAGTTGAATATATTTGATGCCCTTGTAAAACACCTTCCCAAATGACTGCATTTTAAAATGAACTGAAAAGGAAAAAACACAGTTCTGTTCTTAAGCATTTGCTACATTTATCAAGGTCTCAACCTCCCCATTCTTCTCCAGGAACCCTCAACAGACTAGTGCCCAGTAACAACCAGGCTGGCAAAAAGAATGAATTTGTATGTGGCTTCATCAACACAAGCAGACACAACTTCATATTCCTCCTTCTGGTCATTTGTTGCATTGGTTTCACAGCAAACAACAGAAGGAAACTTCACCAACTAAAGTGTTCTCACTCAAAAAAAGTAAGAGAAACCCAAGCTGAAAACACATTATGATCAACAATAAAAGAATACATATTATTCTCCCATTTTCTACAGCTGAATGCTGTCATTAAAAGACAGCAGCTAATTGAGGACCTCATCCTCTAAGCACCTGCACAACTCCATGCATGTAAGTAGTTGCTCTTTGTTTAATAAGGCAACGAGTGTGTGCTTGCAGATGTAGAATAAAATTATGCCCATAAAGGAACTTTCCTCCCATCTTCATTCTACATCGAGGGTTTTAAAGGTACTTGGAAAAAGATGACAAAATCTACCTCATAGGCTTACTGTGAGAGAAATTTCATAACTAAACCAGTTAAATGAGATGAAACAATTTAAGTCAGTGGCAAGTAAATGGCAGAATGACAGTGGCCTCCAGGAATCTTCAGTGTCAGCTGCCTAATTACCACACCCAATACTCCCTCTTCTTCCTCAAGTCTATATTTATGAATTCTGTTAAGAGATAATACAGATCTGAATGCCATGAGGGATTCTGGTTCAGCTAAGTATTAAAAGTTCAAATTCTTACTGGAGCCCTAATTCAGTGTTTTAAATCTACAAAAAGAACTGGAAATGGCAGCTGTGACGAACATAATGAAGCAAATCCCAGTGCCCAAAATCGAGACGAAAATCAGTCACTCGCTAAAATGGTTCAGGAGCGAAGCAGGGAACTGTCCTAGCATCCTAGCTGGTTCATGAACTTCATTAGTTTGAGTTTCGGCCTGTCACTTTCAAACTGATCTGAAATTTCCTGAGAATGCACAAATCCATTAAATTATTTCAGAGCTATATGAACGTGTTACTTATACAATACAGCCAATGTAGCTCCCCTGAAAGGGAAGTTGCCTCTTTTGTACACTTTGGATTGAAAGACCAGGTCAGAGGCCTTAATTTACCTACCTGTTATTTCAAAAGTGATCGATAGCAGAGGTGCAGCACTAGCCTTCGACTTGCTCTGTGACTGACTTTCTGAAATAACAGGGAAACGCCACCGTGAGTATATGAGAACGGAGGTCTTCAAAGCAGCCTTACTGAGACAGCATTTTCTACAACCAACAGCAAACTACACTAAAATGAAGGCGTTTCCCCACAGCTAAAACTGGTAGATGTCTCCCCCGGCTTTTTCCCATCCGCAAATTACTTATAGTTTTCAAATGGTATTGTTTTTAGAGGCACCGATTTGCTTGTTCCTAGGAGGGCCTGGAGAGCAGCTCTTGCCTACACCGCGTTCAAGACGGGAGAGGAGAGAGATGGAGGATGAGTGGAGAAGCAGCCCTTCTGAAAATCTGTCCCCTAATATGGAAAACCCCCAGAGCTCCTTTTTAAACTAAGACCCACTTCACCCCTAGTTTGAGCTCTTGAAAAATTGTTCTCATGTTTATGCATTCAAAGACTAGTTACATTTTAATCAGCTTTCCAGGGCCTGCAGAGATTACCTCCTGATGGGCTCCGTGTATTCCTGTCACAGTCTGATAAGGGCAGATTTCACACCCGCCTAAGCCGGCGAGACTTCACAGCCTACCAAATCCTAATCATCATTCTGAACAGTAAGCTGCCACTGATTTTATTGTTACCTCTCCTTAGCTGGGAGGTTTTACTGCTTTACTCTAAGGCAGGGGCATCTAAACTTTGTTTGGCAGAGGTTATTTACTAAAAGCCCTTGAGCAGAAGCTTATTTGCATTAAATGAAGAGGCTTGAAATCTTCTTTAATAAATACAGATGTGGGGCCCATGGAGCACACAAGTCACACCCTACTGATCCGAGGAGTCACGCTGAAATGGATGTTGGCATTAGTATTCCCCACAAGCTCTACCTCTACGGTAAGTTTGAGAGTACATTTAACCCACAGCAGAAACCTGCAGTTTGGTCAGCTCTGGTGTAAATGTTGTATTACACGACTTTTATAATAAGGTCGCTTTTCCTGAAGTATGTGACTGTATTTTTTTTTTTATTAATAATAATGTATGTTTGTATGAAACAGCTACAGAAGAGGACAAAATCTAGTTAAGAAGCTAAATTCATTTAGCTTAATTCACTGATTTCTAAATCTATAGTGCTGCATTAGCACGCAGAAGTATAAATAACATAAAATACCCAAGTGTTGTTCTCAAGTACGTATATGACCAAACGAATTAAAGATTTTGTGTCCTATGCTATTCACTCTTTTCTTAAGAAGCTGTACAAGTTGTAACAGTGAGAAGGAATAATCTCTTCTCTCTTTCAGGTAGGGAAACAAATCCATGAAATTATATTGGCTTGAAGTCCTGAAAACAACTTAAGAACTTGACCAAATCAAGAAAAGAAAAGAAGAAAAAAAAAAAAAAAGTCAATTTCCTGAGAATCATGTCTAGTCATATTTTTACATATTTCTGTATCGAGCTTACATGTTGGAATTGACCTATTCCATCTGCACATCAAACTGCTCACGTTCATCACCCAGCTGAAGGACACACAGGAAATTTACAGTAGAGGAAGGAACCAGATCTACTATTTCTGACGCACCTTCTCATGCTCTTTCTTATTGAGAGACGTCCTTCACATAAGACAATATTTTTCAGTACATATTAAGAAACTGTAATTTGTAGCTAGGAATCAATATTTGCAGCATAGAGAATGAAATATCTGCTACTACAATTAAGTATTTCCATCTGAACTAGAAAATAACAGCAACCTGGAAGAAGGCAGTTATGACAGAAGACAACAGCTGTCAAGGAGCTCTGGAATGCTGAAGTGCTCTGATTTCACACTAATTCAATTGCAAGTAAATCAAATTTACCTTCTTTTTCCTTGAGGGTATTTAAATAGGAGAGGAGATTTTCATTAGCTTGCACGCAGTACATTTCCCGGGTTTGAATGCCACCTCCGCACAGCGCCGTCTGATTTCCTCGCCTCTTGTCCTGTTGGCTAAGGAGGGGATCGACACGGCATTCTGTCCACTCTGTGGTCCGCCAACCATACCTGGATCAAGTTTGGTTAAATGGGTCTTTAGAAATCATGAAGCCATTTTACACAGCATTAAGTTATACAAGCTGAAACACCTTTATTCATACTGCACATATAAATATTTTATTGGAGAGAAGAAAAACTTGATATACAGAGACATATAATCTATGTTCAGATTGTGACTCTCGGCATTTATTTAGAGCTAGACAATTTATATGAACCAAAGCCAAAATATCAAAGAAATGTGCACGCTGAGAAACATGAGAGTCAGAAAAGGAGAGGGAAAAAACACAATAACCCAAATCCCCCCAAAACAACCCAAAAGCCTCTCATTCATCTTTGATAAGAGAGAACAGAAGTTTCTCCTGAATATCAAGGTAAAAGTATAATTGTATTTTTTTATTACTTCAGAAAAACCTTTCAGTAGGTTCTTTTTTCACCGTCAAGAGGTAGATGGCTCTGCAGTACTGAAGCATCCCTGCTGGGTACTGATGAATGATGAGAAGCTGTGAGCTTTCTAATCAGTGAATGCACAGGAAAGATCTGTGACTCCCAGTTAAAACCCCAATCAGGATTACAGATCGCAAGAAATGCCACAGAATTCTCTACTCAACAGTACTTTAAGGTTAAATCAAGTGAACTGCTTCCTAATGTGGCTGGAGATGGTGAAAGATGACATTTCAACTCTTAAATGAAAAATATGTACTGCAGTCAAAGATGCTTATCATCAAATGACATTTCCCCAGACTCTCTTCTCAGTCTGATAAAGAAAAAGCATAGTTGGGGCTTTAATATTAATCTTGATTAATTGATAAGGATTACAGCAATCTCTTGAATCATAAAGTGCTTGCTGTCATTTCTCCTAAACTTTAAACATGGTTAATTTATTTACTGTCACTGTTAGCCTCTCTTACTTTCCATTTGGAGCCCAGTCCTGCCTTTGTTGTGCCGGATACAAGTCTCACTAAAAAAGTCTGGTTGCTAAACAGATATTTATCACCTCTTTCTTATTTCAGCATTTTGTCTGCAAACAGACAAGTACTTCAGAAAACAATGAATCTGGTGAAATGTCATGTAGAGAAAAGATCACTGACAAATTAATACAATTAATTTATTATGGTCTAGACTGAACCTGCATATCACAAACATTCTCTTTTAAAAGTTAACACTAATGAAAACAAAAATGTATTCATTATTTTTCCTGTATTTAGAAGAGGAAGTGATATCAATACAATAGCAAATATTTGCAGACTTCAAGCTTTTAAGAAGAACACTGAATAAACAAAGGATTAAAAAAAAAAATCAATCCTGTTATTTCTTTAATAATGACTTGGGGTTGATATTCCATCACCAGCCCTATACACTTAATTTAAAATTTTAGTATAGCGAGGACTGAAATGAACCAACTTACGTAATGCATGGTGCCACACCGTCTCCCTGAGAAACGCACTGCTCTGTTTCTTCTAACTGTGGACATTCACTTTCGCTGCCGATAGGGAGCTGTTTAATGGTCCGTGATCTTGTACGATTCCCTTTAGGGGTTGTCATGTCAAAGCAGGTTTTGGAGCAGGGGGTCCATTCTGACCACTCTGACACCTCGCACTCCTTCGTCATCACACAGGACTGGAATGTAATGGGCAATTTATCTTGTTTGCAGAAGCTGTAATAATAGAGCATTACAATTTTCAGCACACATATTCACAGGCAGTCATGAACTCCTACAGAAAAGTGATGTCCATTGCAACATGCAAAGTCAGTAAATATTTGTAAAGCTGTTAAAATTCCAGTCCACATGTGTTTGATCCCAAAAAGTCAGGCAAAAGAACTTTTGGTTAAAGTGACTCAAACCAGATACATAAGATTTGCTATAATTAGAAATGACCAGTACTGCCGTATCTGTGATCAAAATCAAAATATAAATCATCATACATATTTAGAAGTACAAAAGGAGAAATAAAACAATTTTTCACCACATCTTTTATTTTTAGGTATACTCAATTATTTTTCTTCGAATAAAAATCAAGTGAAGGATCAATAACAGAGACAGCTATACAATGTTTTTGAAGAGAACCAAGTGCTCAATGTCATCTTCTCATTTCCAGACTACAAATTATTTAAAAACACAATGTCAAATATATTGAGTATTTTGTCACTAATAATTTGGTTTGTTAATAGTTGGTATATTGCCATAGTGATGTCTCATGGTTTATAAGGGTAAAGATCTCTCCCTTAAAACAGAGCTTTCCCTGCTACAGTGAATCCATAACCTTAATTTCCTGTTCCTCATTAAGGCTGTCATTTAATTTCTATTCTCCATCTGATTGCTTCATTCACATATTACATAGGTTGTCAGCAAGATTTTCTCCCTCCAAATGCCTCTGCATTTTTAAATGTTACATTCTAACTAGAAACTAACATACTTTAAAGCTTGATACACAAAAGGAAAATGAGCAATAGAGGAGCTAAACTACAATTAAATTGATCATAACTTTAATTCCTTAATTATAATTACAACATAAATATATTTATCATGTCTGTTTTTGAATAAAATTCTGGCTGCTGAAGTAGTTAAACTGGCGGGAAAAAGATTTATTGGCACTGCAGATGGCACAATGAAATGCTCTGTTCAGTACCAGTCCTATAAACAACACAACAAAGGCTCATTTTTTTGCCTTTTAATAGAATAGAAAATAATACAGAATAACGAATGTTTACAATAATTTTGTTGCTATACAAAATTTTGCCCTACCCATATATCCAGTATTGTGTTGAACTGCTATTACCAAAATTTTGTAATACTAGAACCAGGGATACTTGATGAGACTAACAGCAGATTTAAAAACATGATAAATTAAAGTACTTCTGTACACAAGAGGCAGAGCAATTCTACATCTTGCTAACAGACGATCCTCGTTGTGGAGACAGAGAGTGTCAGCAGGTTCAGAAAGAGGTTGGACGAATTCACAGGCAATAAATCTATATATGGATACTAAAACAACTAGGTAGTGATACACTAGCCACCATCCCTAATACCTTGACTTTGGATACTGGAGAAATACAAAGGGAATAGACTGCAAAAGGCAGCCAGGCCTCATATGCTTGGTCTTTAAATAGCATCTCCCTTTACCACTGCTGGAGGCAATAGGCTGGAGACACTGTTGGGCTTGACAGGCCATAGGGGCTTACTCAGTAGGGGATTTCTTATGTTCTTATTATGTGAATGGTGGTGGTGGTGGGAAAACTCTAACACATGATAGACAACATTTATCTCCTTAAGAACAGAAACTACACCCTGTTTGGAGTAAAAGACACTTAAAGCTTTTGAGAAAATTGTTGTTTAATAATGGACTTCTTTCACCTTCATGTAGCCCCATCTGACATAGGATTATAGTACTGTCAAATTCAATATAGCAATTTCTTGTACCTTTGACAAAACAGACTCATTTATGCCACAAAGACAACATTTTAATGACTGGATAAAAGATCCATTCCTTATGGATTCTAACATGGGCAGTATTTGCAAATCCTTCTAGAGAACAGATGACACATCATCACTTCCCAAGTTCCTTTCCAATGTGACTCCTTTGAGACCAGAAAAAAACCACCTCTTCACTTCTATTGTGACTGGGGCTGAGTTTAATTATAGACACAGATTGCCAGGGAACATGCACAAAACTGCCACGTCAAAGTAGCTTTGGTGCGAAGCGAAGAGATCAATTAATGACATGTAATACTCCACGGGCTTTGCATCTGCTTCAAAACTTCTTTGGGAGCAGTGTTACATGACAAAGACTAATCATTCTCAGAAGTTGTTTTACTAAATAAATAATCTTTTTTCACTGAAGCTACCTTCAACCTGCCTGTATCCCCTAACTGTCACAAACCCTAAAGGTGTGCCTGGCTGTGGCTGGCTGCAATTCCTACACAGCTTCATGCAGAGATTGTGTCCTTCCCTGATAATGGAAACCTCCACCACAACGCAAAGGGTTCAAAGTTCTTTAGGATGATTGATGCATAGGAGAAATGAGACCTTGAGCTGCAATCGAGCTCAAAACTAATGCATTTGTCAGTTTTAAAAAAATAATATTCTGAGCTAGTTAAATTCAAAAGGAATTTTTATCACAAAATTTTCTGAACAAAGTGGAAAAAATTTACAAAATTGAGCCAGCGTACTGAGAAAAAAAGTTTTTCCATAACCATATTTAAAAAAAAACCACTTTAACAGAAAGTTGTCGATCAACTCCACTTAAAAATTAAGGCCAGCCCTGCAAACTAATGGTATTTATTAATTTTTGAAGGATATAATCACTTCCTGAAAGATTACTGTAGGTCCCAGGCACTTTTCAGATTCCAAGTGCTATTAGATCATTCACAAAGAATTCAACATAGGCATTACTGCAACTTTAGATAACAAATTTTTGTTTCACAGATCCTTAAATTGTAATTGCTATATATGCAAAAAGACATCCTGAAGTTTCTTGCTTTTCAGTACCCTGGTAATCTTGAACACCATGATGCTGAAGTCCCTCTGTGGATCATGTTTCAAAATGTTTTTAAAAATTTGGACCTAGGTTTGTTCACAGGACTCAACTGGAGAATTATTTGGTCAGTGGCATAGAGGTCAGCAGGCTAGTACCTTCCATTTCATGTTCATTTTGCTTTTTAGTAAAAGTTGCTGTTGATATATATATCGACTATACATTATACATATAATTGTATATTTATATAATTAAATAATTAGACTGGTCATTTAATCTTGTTTGTTATTAATTATTTCTATATGTGGGTGTGAAGAGGACCCAAATACAATTGTACCATGTTACTAATCCCATTGTTTATTTATGATTCTTCATAGAAGTAAAGCAATAGAGTTAAAGCATGGCGCATTTCAAATATTTACTTATAAAATCAACCAATTTTAAATGAAATGTAAAATAACTACGTTCTTGAGTTCTTGTAACCAGAACATAAATATTACCAGGGAGACAAAACAAGAAGTAAAGTGAGTTATTCATTTATTTTCTCGCTTGCTTATCAAAACCATGCACCACTTGCAGTATTACATAAATACTGACAAGTAACTGATATTGTCGTAAGTCATCAGCAAACAATCTCTTTACTCTTATAGGTACTGTCATATTATTTTTGTAAGAGGGTGGAGACAGTTACAATCAGCAAAAGAAGTGCCAGACAAGAAAATTAGCTGCTGTTTCTTCTTTTAACACTTGTTTTTCTTTGAACAAGTTAGAGAAAATGTGAGAGCTAATTGCAAATGGGCATTATCAAGAGTTTTCCTTCATGCTGCAGGAGCAGGAGAAGATGTGTTGTGTTCTAGATCAAGTAGGGACTAGGCAAGCATCACATTTAAACTCTCAGTGTCACAAATCTCTAAACAAGACCCAGTTAAAACTCATTAGTTAAGTAAATGATTATGGAAATGCTTCAATCTCTTTGAAGGTAACAGAGTAGCTTCCAGAGCACATTACAAATCCTTTCCCTCACTACCACCTTTTTTCTGTCCCAAGTGAATGTATACCTATTACCTCCAACTAAACTAATCTACACTTAATTTCATGTTGCATATCTACACATCCTCTTTTCCCAGGAAATTTGGGAACAATTAATTTGATGTTTCAAAGTCCCCTCTCATTTTTCAAAGATCTTTTTTCTCCTTTTTTGACTCTTGACACCTTTACAATACTTGTAAAAGATTTTCAAACTTTATCTCACCAAAAGAAACAGATGTTTCCCATACCTTCCAGTGCAGGTGACTATATATAGTCAGATATTCATAATTAAACTTACTAATACTGTATTGTATAAAAATGCTAACTCTGAAAGACACATGTGCCATCTTAAAAGTTCAGCATATGTAATACATTAGCTGAGAAGGTTGGTCACATTTCCTTTAAATGTCTGACCCAAGAAACAGCATAGATTGATTCTAATAAAAACCTGGGAATGTCTTTGTTAAACAAAATAGTATCTTCTGGATTTGGTACCTAATGTCACAGATTTGATCTCCACAAATAATTTAAAGCAAAGCTTAATTTCATGTAAATCGCTCTGCACTTTCTGATGGATTTATGTATCTGATTTAGTCACCCAAAGTTGGATTAATCTTTCAATGGGAGAAAAAGCAAATGGGCAGGTAACAGATCAGAAGATAAAAATAGACGGTTAACATTCATTTCATGATACCACCCAAACCAGTAGAAGTTTTGCATCAAACATCTCCACACTGTGTACTTTCAGTAACATCTAAGTGTACGCTATATGCAGTCAGTCATTCAAAAAGTGCAGGGAGTGCACAAATAAGTCCTATCAACCCATACATTTCTGTCCAGATAATTGCTTGGGAAGTTCAAAGAAAAGTACATGAGTTGCATTACAATGTTGTTATAAGTCAACAGAGCAAACTGGATACAAGATGAGGTAGCATAGGGGTAACATGGAAAGTTTGCAGGACCTTGCTCTCAATCCAGTGAATACATTCAAAAGACAGTGTCCTAAGTGTCTGTCTTTTGGCATGGAAGAGAGCATTACACAACTTGAAGTAAGGCTGTGGTTTGGGAAAGTGCCCTTTCAGACAACAGACAGATAACAGCGGGGAACTGAAGCTTAAGGTATATAAGCACACAGGTGACATAGTGGAAACAGAAGGCAATCCCAAGCAAAACA